ACCTGCAAAAAAGAGTTCGGCATCAGAAGGAAGCAAGGGACAGCAAAATAGAACCTCTAAGTAAGGAACCTACCCGAACTCAGGCCGGCCGCAATGAGCTTGGCCTCCGTCAGATACTGTTGGCACTTTAGCCCAAGCCGCGCCCATTGCCGGAGGCCCTTCGCCGTCTCCTTGTCAAGTGTAACCCCGGAGTCAAGGGCAGCCATCCCCCACCCGGTCTGAAACGGCCACCCCAGCACACTTCGCACCCCGAAGTAGTCCTACTTCCACGCCGGGACCTTATTAGGGAGCTCGTGTAAAAGCTTAAAACCCGGGCGAGGAGACAGGTAGTACGCTCGCCTACGCCCGGGGAGGAGACCCGCTTGTTTCTTAAGCATTAAAATGGAAGAGAAAATCTCCAAATCTAAAGGGAAGCCCTGTTCGCAAAATAGAGAGATGGTCCCCACCAAATTACGAATCGAGTTCGGGTGAAGCTGTCCGACCGTAACGCCGAAGTGATTCAAGACCTCAACAAGGAAGGGATAGAAAGGCAATCGCAGCCCCGCAGTGAGCTGCTCCCGGAATATCACGATCTCATCAGGACCGTGTTCCCAAGGAAAGCTACCCGAAGGTATGACATAAGCATACTCCCCGGGCATATTATAATAGGAAATAAGGGATTGGAGCTCCTCAGGGGTCATGGTCGAGGGGCCAAACTTGTCTAACGACCAACCCCGACGGGAGGTAGATGCCAAACTACCCGAGGCGACTCGACCAATGGGTTTGAACTCTTCCTCGAGCTCTACCTCCGGCTCATTGGAACTATCAGGGGATGCTACTCGGTTCGTGGAACCTGCATCTGACTCACCGGAAGAGCCGCCTGATCTATCCGAGCTAGACATCGAAGAAAGAAGGTGGATTCCAGGAAGGTACTCACCCGGATAAAAGCTTGAACGCGACTAGAACTTGAACGAGCAAAAACCTTGAAACGCGAACTGAAAGCCCGGACGCGAGCTGAAACCTAGACGCGAGTTCAAGAGGCAGCGCAGAAGTGACAAAGCGACTGGGGTCCCCCACTATTTATAACCACAGTGACCGAGAAGCAACGGCGCAGATCAAAACCGATCCGACGGCCCGCAATCGCGCTGACCGCACGTCCCCTGAGACCGAGACGTGATTGGTGCACGTCTTTCTGAAACTGACATGCGCCGGCGCATGTCTTTTTGAAACTGACAGCACGCCAGTGCACGTCTCCTCACATTAAAGGCGGCAGCGACACGTTTTCAAATTTGAAAAGACGCCTGCTTTCACATCTCCCAGCGGCGCGCTTTTTGAATTTTCGAAATAAGGAACACGCTGCCACGTCTATCAGCATTTGTAGGCAGGTTGACGCGTCTTCCGCGCTATCAGTCAACCAAGACTCAAAGTACGGGACAAATCCACTGCCAGCTCGCGAACTCCCCGCACCAGGGCAAGACCCTTAGCGCGAGGAGTGGGGGGCAATTGATGAAGGAAGATTTGGCCCGACCTCGTAATCACTCCATGTGTCAAAGACGAACAGCTTGGCACAGCAGCGCGCCCAAGGCGCGAGCACCGAAGGGAGGAACTAACAGTCCGAACTCCCTACTAGGAGCCCGAACTTTCCCTTAGGCCCCGAGCCTCACACAAGGCAGTGAC